GGGGGGGGGGGGGGGGAAGCAAGTAATGAAGGGAAGCCATGGGGGTGGGTGCCAGGCAACAAATGCCCTGCCAGGAGGGGAGGATACTGCAGCTGGGTGACTCCTGTCTCAGCGTGTGGGGCTCCAGCCCCTAGCTGCCTCCTACCCATACCACTTGCTATAAGCAGCCGCCTGCGGGCAGCCAAGTGGGTGGCTGCAGCTTCCCCTCCATCCCCGTCTGGCCAGGCATCTGCTGCCCAGCACACACTCCATGGCTCCTGCCCTTCCTTGCACTATCTGCTGCCTGCAGCAGTGCATCCAGGACAGGAAAAAGAGGAGAAGGCAGTGAAGAGGAGCCGAGAAGTACCCAAGCAGCTGCAGCTGCACCAGGAACAGACCCATCGGGAAGCCGTGTACACTAATCAGGACCAGGGCTGTGGTAGCACTGCCAGCAGGCATGGGCGGGAGCACGGCATGAGCTGCCCGGGCAGGGCTGGACCCCACACAGAGTGATGAGGGGGTAGCCTTGGGCTAGGTACAATCAATTGGCGGGTTCCTGCCTGTAGGCTAGATCCAATCAGTTGGCGGGCCAGCCCACAGGCTGTATTTTGCCTGCTCGTGTTAGTATGTGCAAGTGTAATATGTAACAATACCACTGTCATCACTACTGTCAGCCAGTAGGGCTGGAGTTTTGGTGTAGCCAAGATGGTCCAGGAAACGTGAGAAACAAGGTTGTTTTAGTGCTATCTTTTTTTGGACTAACTATGTAGTTGAGAGATGCATTAGATAAGCTTTCAGGCACTAATTTTAGTATCTCTTTCAGGAGTTTATATGTATGGAGTTGAACTGTTCATATTCCCAGATAAGCTTGTGTTCTGGTACTTGGAAAAGGTATTGTTTAAAAGGTAAGAAATAAACAGACGTAGAGAGTTCTTACAAAATAATTTCTCTAACCAACACTAATCTAGTTTTTTGTTTCAGTCATGCTGCATTCTAACATCTCATTTCAATGAAATGGCATATAACCAAAAGTCAGACTACCTTTTGCTCATGTATTTTTAAAGTTTAAAAAACTCATGACTGTTGTTATGATAAATTTGATTAAAAAAAACGAACACCAAACTCCCTGGGAAAAATTTCATATGCAAACTCCAATTCAATGACGTTTCATACCCAAATTCCTCTAAACTAGGCACATAGTGAATGGCTAACTAACTACAGAAACACCACCTTTCATAAGATTTTCAAATATCTTTTTGTGAGCAAAATAGTATAAACAATTTATAGTTTAATAAAACCATGTCAGCATGAGAAAATAATAAACTGCACTCAACACTCTTTATTGTATTGTAATGCAAAACTGGTCTTATGCAGAATTAACGCTGTGCTCTTTGCCATACTTGCCTGATTATTAGAGAAGTAACAAAAAGAAATGTTGCAAAGCAGCCCCTCCTGCAGTCAGCATTTTTCTTCTGTCTTTGGTGCATTTCCCCACCACAGTTGTCACAGCAACGACACATGCAGAAGCACAGTCCCACAAGAGGCAGTAACAGAACAAACAGCAATCCCAAAGCAGCAGAGATTATAAAACCGATTTCATAGTAGATTGCCTGCAATTCAGACAAGAATAACTGTAACAGAGGATATTACACAGTCATTCATTCATATATAGCTAGTACTTAAAAACTAAATTAAAAGCTAGACAATCTACTGGTTGCTGGACCCTGTTGTCCTCACTGGGGATGCCTACACTACACTGGGCCACATTTGGGAGGGCTGCTGTGAAAGTACACGCTACTTGGTAGCATAAAAAAATATGCAGTTCTTTTGGAGCTCACCAAGCCACACCTAGTACTACACTCAGCCTTGGGCATCCTTATTACAGTGGTACTGAGACACTAGAGCTGTTCTAATGGTGTCAATTGTGCGCCCGCCCCACCCACCCATTTATT